GGGTTGTGTTCGACCAAGTTTAACATTATACCTAAAGCTTGACAAATCTTCTCCTGAGTTTTAAGTTTGTCTTTCAGTTGCATGTAGTCATTTCGAATATCTGCAACAGAACTTAAGTCTCTGCTAACTTCAGGATATGTTGGTTGTTCTTTTACAGGAACTATTGTTATACCATCTTCGTCTTCGTATGGTTTCCCCACTTCAACATCTCTGTCTTTGACATTGACAACAACACTTTGACTGTTTGTTTGAGTTGGTGAATTTAACTTCACATCTGCCACCGCCATTAAAACTTTTGAAACACTTACGCTTCTATTTTTCGAAATGACATTTTACTTAGAATAAAAAGATGGACGTATTTGAGTATCTCTTCGAATTGAAGCAGAACAAAGTTTACACACACAAACAATACAAGTTCATTGACAGAATAGTTCTTTACACAAACAATGGAAAATGTTATAGAATAGCAGTCTTTGCTGAACCAAAATATTTTCATAAAGCAAAGAAAGTTGGTATAACTGAAATGGTGAAAGTTCTTGACGTTGACAAAAATATAACAAAAAACTGACCGATATTTCTAAAGGTAAGTTTATAATACAATACTATGTCAAAACTGGCGTACTGTCAATATTTGACGGAGAGAAGTCAGTTCAAGAACAACTTACTGACCTGCTGCCAAAATCTGCTCGATGGAAGCTGTCGTTATGCCAATCTGAGGAGCCCCAGCAGGTTTCATCGAACGAATTTTCAAAAGAGCATCTTCCGTGAAAAGTGCTATTGGTTTTGTAAACTTCTTTGCTTTCAATTCATCTGGACCGTCTCTGTCACCAGTATATTGTATTTGAACTGTACCAACAGTTGAAATACCACCCATAAAGTCTTCTGAGTCAGCAAATGGAATGCCAAGCCAAAGTTTGAACGGTCTCCATTTGTATATTGAGTTTTTTGACCTCCTGTATGAGTCCATACTTTCACATATGGCATAATAGAATTTTGCATTTTCAGGGTTAATGGTTGTTGTGTGAAGTTGTTGTTAAAGTTCATAGCATCTAATGTCAAGTTGTATGACCTCATATCTTCAACTGTAGAATATTCTTCTCTTGGATAATATTTGCCATCTATGTTTATATGATATTTAATACCGGGGTTGTTAGAAACAAGAATAGTCATTTATAGTTCGTCTGAACAGTACAAACATAGTATCTGCATGTTTCATTGCAGTTGTTAAAGCAATATCTGTTCTTGCACCTGGGTCAGCACTTTGGTTTCCAACTTCACCTGCAAAGTCTTTGACAGATATTTGGTGTATAGGGAACATAAGTGGAACTGCAATATATTTGGCAGCTAAAGCATTTGAAATATCTGGGTCCAACATATAGACTGCAAGTCTGCTTTCTATTCTCTTGCATTCAAACTTTTCGCATGTGAACTTAACTGGGTCCCAAGCAGTTCCAGCAGCATTGAAATAATAGTTTACTTCAGTGTTGAAGTTTGAGAAACCAAAGTCTAAGTCAACTTTGTCTTTGCAAAATTCGGCGAATGACGTTTGATTCGCCCCCTTTACGTCTGTAAGAGTGAATGGGTCTTGTGTTGGTGCAATGACTAAGTTATTTTTGCTTGGGGTGAGTTCGATAGAAATCTTACCTGCCCAGTTTGGCAAGTATCTTAAAAACCTGAAGATGAGGAAAGATGACAAAGGAACTCTAAGTTTCAATTTTACTTTGGTTACTGCTGCTGCAGTTTGTCCAGAAAGGTTAACATAAACTCCTGGAACGTTAGGGTCAAGTCTTCTTATTTTCTCAATGGTGGCGTACTGGTCTGTTTGTTCTCTAGCTTGTGGTTGTTACTGAGTTTCTCAAAGCGAACCATTCATAGTTTGCCCATGTTACTGTTTGGACTAAGTCAGAGTTAGAATATATCTTATATCCCATGAAAACTTCTGGAGCATATTGGTATCCGACATAGAAAATTCCATTGCAACCTTTCTTGTCAGACAACTTGGCAGAAGGTTTTATTTCAATGTCTTGTTCCACGTATAAGAAAGAGTTGTCAATAGAAATAATATGAAACCTGTCGCATGCAATATCTACTGTTGTTGAAGAACCTTCTCCAAACTCACCTACGTTTCCATAAGAAACAGCAGTTGTATATTCGTAAGTTCCAGGAACTATTTCTGACCTTCTAATGGCATTGTCGCATTCGTTATACCATTCGGAAACATTTCCATTCATGGCATCCAAAACTGTTGGCGTTATATTCTGAGCGGCGTACATTTCATATGGGTAAAAATATAGAATAGTTGGATTTATATGTCATAATAGAACCCACGTGGACCAAGCTTTACTTTCTTCCTGACTGAGTTTTTAACTCTTCTTTTTCCTTCATTGCCACTACTTTCACTAGATGAAGTTACTTCTTCACTACTTTCTCCAACTCTTCTTCTTTGGTGTCGCTTTGGTAACTTGCCCTCTGCTTCAAGTTGTTGCATCTTTGCCTCATGTTCATCTAGTATGTTGCAAATTTCCCATGTCCTTTTTGCCTTTGGGCTCTGGTCGCCCATCTCAGGTAACCTATATCCTAGAAAGAGTTTGGCATAGTTTGTATTTGAGTCTTCGCGTATTGTTTGCATGACTCTTTCCTGAGTTTGCGGTTCAAGCTCTTCAAACAGTGCCTGTCCATATGGAATAAGCTCGTTTCCAAATATATGTTTTTGTAGCCATTCTGGTTTTCTTTCCATGTTACCAACAATATCTTTTGTGAATGGGAAAGCTTCTACCCAATCTTTCAGTCTTGCGTCATTTATTTCCGTAGTTGGTTTTATTTTGTCAAGGAACATGTTTTTCAATACTAACATTTCATTTGGTACTGTCCATTTGAGTTTTCTTAAATATTCATCCCTTCTCGATTCATCGCCTGCAAAGTAAGTTTTTATGACATTTTGTAAACTTTCGTTTGCAAGGTCATGTACAATAGGTTCTCTTCCTTCTCTGTCCCTAACTCTCTTTCTAAACTCTTCACCAAATATACCATCTTTATGGTTCTGTGTAGTTCTTTGAGATAAATGTTCTAGAACGTCAGGTGTTATATTTCCATCAGCCATGTTCATTTCATACTGGTCCAAAATATCTGCATCTTTCATATCTTTCAATGGCATTAAAGCCGCGCTTAAAATACCAGCTATATCTCGTTCACCATTCACTTCCATTGCGTCTACAACTTCTTGGAATTGAGGTTGTAAGTTTATGAACCACCTATCCGGATTAGCTTTATGACCCCATCTCATTGTAGTTCCATAGTCTGCAGAAACAAAAGTAGGTCTGTTTCCATCTTGGCTAGGTTCTGAATGAACTTTAAACAATGTTTCATTTTTATATGTTTTCTTGAAATTTAACCTTTTATTTTCACCGAGTTCATCCAAAGATTGAACGTTAAATGCTCGTAAGTAAAAAGGGTTGTTGTATTTGTGTACATTTTCTTTCAGTACTTCCATTCTATGCTGAATATTTTCATCTGGTGTTGGAGTCTTTTGTATGTCGGTGAAAATTTTTCGATATTCTTCTACTGTGTCAGCCGAATTTTTTTTAGACTCTTGGAAAGATTCCATATTCTTCGCATACACTTGTTGAGGGTCAAGATTTTCCGGCTGTTCCAAATCTTCATCTAGTTCTGTGAGGTTAGTTTCCAAAGGAGGGACTTGTTCGTTTCCTTCAGGCTCTTCTAGCTGTTGTTGCTGAACTATTTCTTCCATGTCTGGTTGTATCTGAACTTCTTCCTGTGGAGTTTCTTGTACCTCATCTGCTGGCATTTCATATATTCCGAGACCGTTTTCAACAAGTTCCCTATCTAAGTCATCCGGACTCATAAACCTTTCTTCTTTCGTTCCGTCTCTATTTTTTACGCGTTTCATGAAGAGAGTTGAATTGTTATTTAGCTCTGACACCAAATATCTCGGAGTAAATTCATCCATGTCATTTGGATGATATGCTATTAAATCATATCCCTTAGCGAGCTTGTATTTTCCAGGTTTGAGATTATATCTGATTTGGTGCTGAGCCATAAAGCTAAATAGGTTCGGGTCAGTATTTCCTTCCTTGAACTTTCTAATAGCTTCTTTATATCTGTCACTAAAGTCAAGAGTATCTGGGTAACCATACTCTTCCTTCAGCATTTTTAAGAATTCTTGGTTTCCTTGTTCTCTACTTCTTTTATGTCCTTGCTCTGTTTGTGGTTGTTGTTGTGCAGGGTTTTGAACTGTTGGTTGTTGTGTTGGTTGTGCTGGATTTTGAACTGTTGGTTGTGGTTGTTGTTGTGCTGGTTGTGGAGGTGGTTGTTGTGCTGGTTGTTGTGTTGGTTGTTGTGTTGGTTTTGGTGCATGCCTGTGTCTATGTCCATGTGACGATGTAAATGTTTTAGGTAGTCCTGGTGCAGGTGCTTCTCTTGGAGGGTTTGGTGGTATATAAGTTCCACTAGCTAGTATATAAGTTCCACCAGCTGGTATATAAGTTCCACCAGCTGGCACATATGTTCCATCTGCAGCGTAATGTCCTACCTGACTTTTCGTTTTTAAGAAAGCATTTACTAGGTCTGTTTTGGTCTGTGTAACTCTTTTTCTTGACTTTCCACAACAGTTGCTCTAACGGCGTCATAGGCACTTTGAACTGCCTGTCTCGTTGCTGCATCTGTTATTTTCGTCATATTTTGTGCTACTTCTCTAACTCTTTGTCGAAACCTTCAGATTCAGTTTCTTTCCAGATGAGAAGTCGTTTCACTAGTTCACCTTACTATGAAGAGCTTCGAAGGCATTCTTAAGTCAGCATCATTAAAGCTTCATTTGAACTGTCTTCATCCGCTTGTATTTTTGTCCTTATTTGACCCTATAAGTTGGGCTGCTTTAGCGTTGGCTTGGGCATCTAACCAGTCATTGTTAGCTTTATATATTCTGCGCTTTTCATTGCCTTTTGCATGGCTGCGTCGTTATTTTACTTTCTTGTGCTAAGTTTTCATACTGTACGGTTTGGTTTTGCAATGTAAAAGTTTTTCTGCCTTTACATTTGTTCAACTTCTTTTTTATACTCATCGCTTTCCATATATTTCAGGGCTTTTTTGTTTTATCTTCTCTCTTCAGTACTATATTGTAGTAGTATGGTTTCAAATTTAAACATCTTGTTCCATTTTTGCTACTTCTGCTGCTTTTTCTGACACTTTTTTCGCATATTGCTCTGTACTTAGTTCTTTCAGTTGTTCTTCTTTCTTCTTTTTCTCTACGTTTAACTCATTGAGTTTCTTTGTGTGTCTGTCATATTCTAGTTTCTTTTCGTTTTCACTTATTTGCTTCTGTATGTCTATGTTTGACTTTTTGACATCTGTTATTTGATTTTTGAGTGAACTCAAATTCATTTGACTTTGAGGGTTATAGGCTGTTCCGTCTGCAGCTCCACCATAGCCTGCCATTTTCGCTAAAAGTGCCGCTCTTAAACCTCCACTCTGTGCACCAATGACTCGGTTTAAAAGCATAGGATTGCTTGACATTTGTTGCAACATAGTGGGGTCATTCATCATTTGTTGTTGCAACTGTTGTTGTGGTGTCAGTCTTACTATTGGATGTTTCAATGCTCTCTTCCTCTTACGTATATTCTTACGTAGCTTACGTGGCATTTTAAGTGAAGTTAAAAAGCGGTTTTTGACAGATGTTTATATGACACTTTCTCCGGTTTATAGGACCTCTCTCATATTCTATCTAAAACTCATAGTCATGACTTCTTCGTAAATGTTTTGTCATGACTTCATCGTAAAGACTTTGTCATGACTTCTTCGTAAAGACTTTGTCATGACTTCATCGTAAAGACTTTGTCATGACTTCATCGTAAAGACTTTGTCATGACTTCATCGTAAAGACTTTGTCATGACTTCATCGTAAAGACTTTGTCATGACTTCTTCGTAAATGTTTTGTCATGACTTCATCGTAAAGACTTTGTCATGACTTCATCGTAAAGACTTTGTCATATCTAAAACTCATAGTCATGTATGTCCTCTAACCATCTCATAACGGTTTCCAAACCACTTTTATCGGATGTAAAGTAAAAACATGGATGGTTATGTAAAACGTCTAAAGTTTCTAAAGAGTCTCTCAAAGTCCAGTCTACTTGGAACGCCCGTAACTTTTCTGTAGCGACGATAGACTCTTACCTGTCCGGACAACAGTTATACTATTTTGAGTTCTCTACAAAAATTTTAGGGGCTAGAAGGCACGAAGTGCCTGGAAGGCCCCCTATACCAAAAAAAACCTCATTTTATACTAAACTCATTTTATACTAACATCTTCAGGGGCTAGAGGGCACGAAGTGCCTGGAGGCCCCACTACCTTTTTTTTTTTTTTTTTTTTTTTTATCTAATTTTATCTAGATAAGGTGTAGATATCATTTCAATGAAATATTATTCTAATACCATTTAAAAACTTGAAATTTTTTTGAAAATTGGCTTAAACAATTGTGAATTTGAGAATTATACTTATACTTATAGTTCTTACATGATATATTATCTATCTTCAGCATAAAAATGAAAATTTCGAATCTAAAACTGGAGATATAAAAAATATAGTTAAAATATCAAAAACTTACATATGAAAAGGATAATTGCTGTTTTCAAGAGGGTAGAAAGTTTCAATCATATAAAAATAACATTTTATTTTCGAATTTATTAGTATCAATGTGTTTTTTAATATCCATGATCATACTCAAAATGAATAAATTATATTCGAAATCTCTGGTGTCCTTGTTTTCCTCATTAAAACAAAAATGTAAAAAAAATTGTCCTCATAATCTGATAAAATAGGTGCCTAAGTAATTAACAGACATTTAGATACTCCAGAATCGACTTCATTATACAATAATGTAAAAAAAGTTAAAAACTCTAATTTAAAAGAAAAAAAATTGTTTCACGGTTGACTCCGCCGAAACCACTAGATTCCACCGTCAAATCCGTGAGTTTTGTTGGCCCTGCCGCTGGATGCGAGAACGAAAAATTCGCAAGCCTTGGCATTGCCATTAATATCACTTTTCTATCGTTAAATAATCGTCTGAAATGGAGTAAAAAAGTGACAATGGCGCAACTCACCGGTGTTTATCAAAGTGTTGAGCACGCAATAGTCGAAGCCATTCACATTTTAACACCGTTTTCGGAATATTCAGATGATTCTGTTCGATGTAAACAGATTTTTAGTTTAGTTAGAGATTCAACTATTTATATCAACGGACAACCACAAACAGGAAACCATAGATTTACGATATTTTCATCCGCTTTATCGGGTAGGAGATCATCAGTCAAGTTATTTCAAAAAGTAACAGATCCAGAGAGACATGGTGCTTGGTGGAAGCTTAAAGTCCCGTATGAAGAAGCCCTTCGAATATGTCACTCGCTGATTCTTAAAAACCCGCACCGTAGAGGTGATATTTTCGAATGGCAAAGTAATTTTGATATTGTTTCTGCTCCTCGCGAAGAAGAGATAAGGAATAGATTCCTTTCTTTTGTCCCGCTTTGCATGGTTACGGAAGAACTCCAAGACTCAAATGAAGAGTGGGAAAGCAAAATCAACGAAATTAAAGAGAAAATCGAAGTTCAAAAGCAAAATTCAACACCAGAAACTCTCCAAAACTTACAGCAGCTTATACAGCTCCAATCAACTGTTTCAGAACTCAGACGAAATAGAAGAAGAAATGATTTCGATTTAAACGATGGGCATCAGCTACAATTCTTCTAATTTGCATTTGTTCATTATATACATTTAATTCAGAGAGAAATTACAATATTTCTAATTTAATATTTTTATTTTGTTTGTTTATTAATAAAAGTTATAGTTTCTTAAGTGCTATTGAAAACATAAAGGACAGTTGTGTTATATTGTGTTACATTTCATGAATCAATGAGACAATTAACAATTAAAAGATTGATTTAATTTTTTCTTCAATACTTCCTCAGAAGACAGTAATCGATTGCATAACAGTTAGATATATGACATATTATCAATGTATGTGCTCCTCTAAGTTTTCATAAAATATATTTTAAGTCGCTGATTTTAATGTTGCGATTTTATTAATCGACTTATATTTAAATGCATTGATTACTGAAGATATGCTTGGATATGTATTAATTGCATGTAGAATCGATGTCATCAACTCCTGATGCCAATCTAGAACTGGGCCTACTTGCTCAAAAATGTTGTTAATCAGTCAGACACGAAATACAAAATTTCAAGAGTTATAACTAATATTATTTTCAATTATCACAGGTCCAGAAAAAAGCATCTTTCCGTTCCAGATTTTAAAAATCTATTCATAAACATCAATTTTGCTTAATTTAAATATGATACATTGATACATCATCACTTATTGTTATTCACATTCAAGTTTATCAAAATAAAAATGATTTTATGTGCTTGAAATTAGATGTTAATATAATAACTTTCACTTCACATTCTGACATACTTAACATCTGTACATTGATATCAATCTGCAGATGCATCTTAATATTCAAAAAGAATTAACATACTGATTATTTAAAAACTACAATAAAAGTCCAAGATGTAATATTGGGGGAAAAAATATATTTATACAGTTCCTAGAATTAGATTATTTTAGATTTTTTAAGTGAACTCGTTTGCAAGCCAAATTATAAAACTGCATGATAATATTTCTTTTGGTTTGTGAACTTTTGATGGATAAATATAAATTATATCCTTCTGTTGGAATGAAGTTTCTCCGAAAGAATTTTCCCCAATATAAGGCTTCTTCTGATTTATATTTCTATATACAAAAATTTGTTTCAAAACTATCCCATTTCCATAACAGAATTGTTCACCCATACTCGTAATTGAAGTAGGGAAAATAATTTTTTCGAGGTATCTAGCTCTATTAAATGCTCCAAAATAAAGATTTTCAACAAAATCTGGGACTGTAAACGAGGATACTTCACGGCATATGGGGAATGAAATCAATGTTTTCTTGTTTTTTGAGTACAAAATACCATTTTCGGAACTTAATAAAGAATTTCTAGAGTCAACATCAAAGTTTTCGATACATGCAAAGTCAAATGGATTTCCTTCATATATTTTAATAACATTAGGTGGAATATTGAAGTGCGGCATTGCTGTTGGAGATTCTTTAAAGATATTATCGTCGAATTCTTCTATACTATTAGGAAGTGAAACGTTAAGTAGGTTTGGCATGTTTGCAAACGCTCCATAAGGGACCTTTTTGAATCCTTCATGAACTTTAATATATTTTACTGCATTTCTATCTACCCAATTTGGAATTGTAACAACATCACTGGTGTTATAATCAATTTCTACAATCTCACTAGACGCCCTCGCAGTTTTACTGTCTCGAGAATAAAAATAATGTCACTTTTTGATCATACTACTCAATGACTCTTGAACTTAATATTTCAAATATCTTTTTAAAATTATTCTACACCATTAGAATAAAAGAAATATTCCAATAACAATTTCAAACAAAAAAGTGACATTATTCCTTGTTTCCTGGAAAATTTTTTGAAAAATAAAAATAAAAAAATGATTTGATGCAATAACACTCGAATAGAGTACTCGATTTAATTTTGTCAGATGGGCGGAAAGTACAAACTTAAAATAAAACAGTAAAATATAATATATAATTTGAAATTTATAACAAATAAAATAAATAATAAAAAAAAATAAAAATAAAAATAAATTATTCAACTGGACAGAATGTTGCGATCTTAACCTTCATTTGTTTAGCAGAATGTGCGTAGTGTTTCATTGGTTCCACTTTCACATTCTTCACATCGTTATACACTCTATTATCAACTAGAACTTTGAAGAAATACGGATTTTTCTCAGCAGCGCAAACAGTTGCAGAAGTTACAGGAGCTCTACTCATCTTCGAACTCGATGCCTCTCTATCATTAATAAGAACTTTTCCTGGTTCATTCACTGTTTCGAGGAGAAGTACTTGATCACTTGGTCTTATGTTTTGTTCCTTGTTTATTGACCAGAAAGAGAAAGTTGTCACTTCAACAGCGCTCAAGTCTGTGTCAATATCAGTCATCAGCATGAATCTCTTTGGTTTTATGTGTTTCTCGTCTGTTTCTGTGAATCCAGGCACTTCAGTACCAATCAGCTGGCTTCCTATATGAAGAGAAACGACAAAAGGAATTTGGACAGTTGAATCATCTTGGAATTGCAAAGAACATGACCAAACATGCAAAGAAATAGTAAACCTTGCGAATGTTAAGTAATGTTGCAATGCAAATTGCATGATAGCACTGGGATTGGACTGTGTAAACCATACATTGTTCTCAGGTGGATCTTCACAATGAATTGAGGGGAAAATAATCGGTGTTACATCTTCATTCAATTTCGGAGCCATAGAAACACAATTTTCGTAAACTCTTGAAACAAATCTCATGTACGCGTCGTCTTTACTTGCAATGTAGTCTGCAACATTATTGGAGAATTTTAATGATGAATGGTCTTCCGGTAGCAAATAAATGGTGAACGATAGACGTTTACAAAGTGTTTGGTCGTGTTTTGAGAGACAAAGGTAAAGAGCTTGGATGATGGAGGAAAGGACGTTGTCGTCGCCCAGAACAGCGATGTGGTGATTGATGAGGGCTGGTTCTTCATGATTTGTGGCAAATTCAATGAGAGGCTGAAATACAGTCGTATTTAGGATTTCTGTACAAGGAATAAGCAAGAATTTGGACTCCGATGGTCCGTCTACTGTAAGTTTCGTGTCTACTTCGTAATCTATCGATAATTTCATTGGAATTGTGTTGACAAATGGAGGAACTAAAATTGAAGTATCGAAATCGGGTTCTGTAGGTGGGATTGTTGTTAACTTAAGCTTCTTTTGTATTTTAGCGTCTGATTTCTTTGTAAAATCGAGCATTTGAAGAATTCTTTCAACATGCATTGCTTGTGGAACAATTACGTGCTGTTTCTTTGCGAGATAGTATCTGCCGTAGTTTATTAGTTGAGTTTCGACTGATAATTTTTGGTTGTACCGCTGATGCATTAAATTCGGGAAATATCTTGCATTGTGATCGAATAAAACCTGAACGGAGCCATTAGTAGCCACGTTCGTTGATCCTATTCTATATAGAATGTCGTAGAACGCAGATCCTGGGTATTCTCCGTTTCTTTGAATTAATTGGCCGATTTCGGAGCCAAGAGTTGAAACAGGGTGTGGGAAGATGAGGGATGACTTTAGGGGCTCAATGAGCATATCCAGCAACGATTGGTCAATTGCTGGGAAGACAGAAACAATTAAAAATAAAATATGCAATAAACAATCAGCTTCTTGTAAATTATTGAGTGCTTCAAGACGTACTTTCATTGCTTGTAAGAGTGTGCGTGTTGCCAATGGAGATGTGTGTATTAATTTGAGAACTCCGAGTAAATTAAACATAGGAACGTTTGTTAACAGTAAAAAAGAGTCGTATTTGTTTGTAATGCTATCTAATATTGTCTTCATGTTGACTTCTTGCGCTGTCAAGAGTTTATTCAGTAATAACATGGAATGTGAAATTGAAAGATTTCCTGAGCCGAGAAGTTGCTGGTAAGGTGCTTTCCAAAATGATTCTGGTATGAATGTGTTGTAGCATATGACAAGATGAAGTATAGCAATTAAACATGAATCAATTTCAGCTGAATGATCTGGTGGAGGAGGTATAGATTTATCTTTCGGATTAGCAGGTGGAGGTGGAGGAGCTGATACTGCTGATAAATATTTCAATGCTTCATTAATAAATAATTCTGCAAAATCTTCATTTTTGATATTGTCCCAAAAAGTTGTTGATGTCCATGGAACAAGTTGGAACTGTGATTCAGATAGTGCGTTGAATAATTTGGAGAATTTCGCCGGATCATATGTGCCAGCTTTAAGTATGAACTGGCGAAAATCCATTTTTTTCAAATAAAATCTTTTTTAGATGAGAGAAAAAAAATTGAATAAGTAATGTTGTGATATTTTACAAACAAATAAAATATCGAAAATTAGCGTTGTAATCAAATGGATAGAATGATTTCAAAAAGTAGAAAGGTAACTAAACTACTTTCGCCGATCCGATTTGCTCCATATTTAAAATATAGCTTGCATATGTAGAAGAAAAGCTAATTTTGAAGTACGCCCGAAATCCACCAACAGGATTTCGAGCTACTAAAAAGGTACTTTTAAATGTGATTTTTTTTATAAAAAATTAAATTTATTTTAAGATCAGACTAAAAACTAATTTTATGGAAAATCTATATCGACAAATTTATTACTTATTGGGTATATAGATTTTTTGATTATGGCGATTATGTCTGATATGCTTCCAATAAGCCAAAACACATTTCATACTGATTTCTATAAAAGGTATCTTTATTATAGAAGTGTAAGCTATATCTGTTTGTTTTTTTATTATAACAAATTCAAAATTCTCTTATAAGGACTAGATGAAATCTGTATTATTAAATCATTAGCTAAATGAAGGTTCAAATAGAAAGTAAATATCAATTTATATGATACTGAAACCAAATAGTTCTTTTAATAAAAGATAACACGCTGAAAATTATTGAGTATTTGCAAATCTCAAAAATCTATTGGTGAATTTGGCTCAACTTTTAAAATTATAACATCCATATCAAATCATAAAAGCAGACAAAAATTAAAGCCAAACCTATCGGCCAATTTTTTTTTGATATTTTGATTTTTGAGGTATACTTTTAAAAGTGGATTTAAAGCACTGATGAAAAAACATTAACTTCTGTCGTTATGATTATTGATTTAGACAATAATGATTTTAATCTTTGATTATCAAAACACTAAAGTCATCTTTTTAACATTTGCTTGGTAGCATTAACTCAAGTCTAAAGTACTATTTTATGTGGCACTCTTAGAATTTTTGTATTCATTGTACACGCTGAAATAGTACCATTAAAGTTATGGCGGACTTTCAAAAAATAGTTTGGTCACCTTTAAAAGTAGTAGGATATGAAGGGTTGTGTGACTTTTTTTGTTACATCTATATATAGACGATGCATTAAAATATATTTATTTATAAATCATTAAAAAATTAACATTAATTTTAAAATAATTTTTTTTATCTTTTATAAAAGAAGCTATATATAGATGATGTCAGATATTCCGCGATTAATTAAACATTGTTTAAATCCTGAATGGAATCAATGGAGTCATAATCAAAGACCTCATAAACGAGTAAAAGAAATTAGAAATAAACTTCTTACGAAAAATTAAAACTTAGTTATGTTTATTATTTTATTTTTTTATTTTGTATGAAATGAGCGTCAAAACTAACAACGTTAAAAAATTAGGATTCACAAACGAGGAAATAAAGGATATATTAGAGGAGGTGGGTTATGAAGTTGATAAATATTATTTAAGAAATTGTAAAAAATTCGCGGAGTTATTAAATGATTTAGATTATGATGGAAAAATGAATAAAGATAATGTTATAAATTTCTTATATCCCACATCTGAAGAAGAAAAACCTAAAGAACCTGATGTTTTCCCTGAATATTATGAAGAACGGATTAAAGATGATGAATACAATGAAATTGAAAGACTGAAAAAAATAAGAGATGAAATAGATGAAAAAATTAAGGAATTAGGAGAAGTTGAAAAATATAATGAAAATGAAGTAGAGGGTTTAATGAATATCCCAGCTTCAGAATCAGAAGTACAGAAATCTCATGAAGAAAGATATAAAAATTATGTCTCAGAATCAACACAAAATTTATTAGATGGTGAAATAGACGAAACTGTAATAAACAGAAATTCATCAAAAGTGACAGCTCTCAATTTTTTGACATTTGTAAATTCTAAATTGAATGAGAAAAATGAAATAATACTAAGCATAATACAATATTCTAGATTTAATTATAATTAGGAAAAAGTTAGTTTTGAGAGTACTTTTCATAGGAATATAGAATGAAATCTTCTGAAAAATAATATCACATAAACTCATATTATTTTCTAATATATAACTATTTTATATAAAAATCAAATTCAATGATCTTAAAAGCGAAGGATAAACCTCAAAATTTACGAATATAATGAGTGGGAATATAATGCTTATCTATCATAAAACCATATGAATATCAATTTTTGCTTTACGCCTAATTTTTGACGACAATTAGCAAAAAATGTTAAATGTTAACACTCAGTCCATTTGAATATGAAAAATAAAATTGACTTTGATTAAATGTTTTTATTTATCATGCAATTCTTCTTGCGACCAAAGATTTGATAAAACTTCAAAAAATAAGATAGCTTAAAAAATAATATACGGTAGTGTTTTACTAATAGATCAATAGTATATAAATTCTATTAAAATGGATTTGATCCAAAAAAATATATAAATTTGATCATAAATAAAAACGTTTTAAATTACTTCTTCATTTAAATTATAACAATTATTTTTGGTTTTATATTTTTTTGGATCAAATCCATTTTAATAGAATTTATATACTATTCATCTATTAGTAAACACTACCGTATATTATTTTTTAAGCTATCTTATTTTTTGAAGTTTTATTCAAATCTTTGGTCGCAAGAAGAATTGCATGATAAATAAAAACATTTAATCAAAGTCAATTTTATTTTTCATATTCAAATGGACTGAGTGTTAACATTTAACATTTTTTGCTAATTGTCGTCAAAAATTAGGCGTAAAGCAAAAATTGATATTTCATATGGTTTTATGATAGATAAGCATTATATTCCCACTCATTATATTCGTAAATTTTGAGGTTTATCCTTCGCTTTTAAGATCATTGAATTTGATTTTTATATAAAATAGTTATATATTAGAAAATAATATGAGTTTATGTGATATTATTTTTCAGAAGATTTTGTGTTCTTCTTCAAAATTTTATTTTTTTATTAAAAAGAATCTTTACAAAATATACATTTACTTTAATTAATATTTAAAAACGTGCTCTATCAAAAGTTCCAAAAATTCAATATTTTAGCTTTTCTGAGGTGTCACTTTTGATGAATTTCTGTTTACAACAAAACACTTTCAGAAGAAGGTACTAAATTTATTCGTAAACATAAGTTACAATTTATTGATAATGAAGAATACCCCTGTATCTTACTTTCACCCCCTCTCGATTCTGAGAAATTCAAAAAAGCTCTTAAAAACGTGACATATGCAACTAATACGATTAAGAAAGAAGATCATGATATTTACACAAATTATTATTTAAATAAATGAACAGGTGTTGATAAAGTTTTTGATTTATTAGATAAAATATCAAAAGAAACCATTGGAACCTATAAAATTTTGTGTGATTGTGGTTTCATTATTGAAGATACCAATAATGTTTCATATGAAAGAACAGCACCGAAGGAAGACGAAGTGGAAAGGTCTATACCATTCGTTATTAAGAATATAAAAGATATGAAAACGTATAAGCATTATATTTATTCATTTATTTCAGAAAAAATGGAAGCAACCCATAAAACATCTTCTCATCATTTTATAGCTATTCATACATTCCTTTTCAAAGTTGTGAAATTAAATAAGACAGGAATTAGATTTAATGTATCAGGGTACGCATTCTTGAGTAAATTAAAATGTATTCGTCACGTCGCAGATGATAAAAATTTATGTGTTCTTAATTCATTTTATGGGCTTTAAAAAATAAACTTTATTTTTATTTATTTTTTAATTTTTTATTCTTACATAAATGAACAAAAACGGAACAGCTAAAATGAATGATAATCAAATTAGAGCAGAAGGTAGAAGGTTATTTAAACGCTTCTATAACATTCCTGATGGTGCTAATCCTAAAACTCGTAGAAGCTATTTAAATGAAGCAATAGATGCATATGAAGGGTTTGACATTTCATCAGAAAGTGAGAGATTAGCGAGAATGTTAAATGTTAATATTGATTTCTATTATTGTGATCCTCAACCAGAAGACGTGGACATAAATAAGGTAGACTTTCCATTAGTGGAATCAATAATGATAGATCCAGAATTTGAAACAGTAAATATTTTATTAACACAGAGTCCATGTGGAAAACTTCACGCTGACAGAATAACAGACGTTGAAGCACTCACCGGCTATAAAGTTTGTCCATATTGTAAAGAAGAAGTTTATTCTATCCGTGATGATCCAGAAAGGAAAAACCAAAGAAGATTTTTAAAGCATTGTGAGAAATGTAAAGAAAATAATGGAAGATTAATTCAAGACGTTCAGTTGCAAAAGACACAGCAACCATATGCACCACATATTACGAAATAGAAGATATATCAGTGGTTATTAGCTCACAATTTGCAGAAATATTATAAACCGACAAGATATTATATTACTTTTGACTTTGAAACATTAGAGACTAAAGAAGAATTACAACTTTCTGAGTGTGCAACTTTGAACGCTTACTTAAAACCATTCATGGTATCATCAACGGTTAAATTAAATGATAAAACATATACGAGGAATTTTTGCTTAACTTCGAGTGATTCTTTTATTTCTGATTGGATTGAGTTTTTATTTTCAACCTGTTCATTAGTTGTTGAATCAAATATAAGTCAATACAATGAATTATTGAAGTCGCAAACGGCTGGGACTTTGTCCCATACATTAAATGAAAAACAGAAGGAAGCATTTAAAGAACTTCTAGATGAGGAATTCAATAAAGTGAATATCATAGGTTTTAATTCGGGAAAGTTTGATTTAAATTTAATTCTTCGTGATTTAAACACTACAAAATGGAAAATAAAATCAATGCTGGGTTCATCTTCACAATTTAAGCAAATCATTGTAAAGAAAACAAACGTTCCATATGAATTGAGATTTATTGACATCAGAAATTATATAGCGGGTGGGACATTAGACCAATTCACTCAAGATTTCGGAAACAATAAATCACGTGTTAAATCCTTTTTCCCTTAT